AGGATGCTTAAGGCAGGGGCACAGGGCGAGGGACAGGTCACGTCACGAATAGACAGACTCAGCTCAGCAGGAGTACGGGAACCACGAGAGCTGAGTGGTGCTGCCTCCAGGCCAGCTCCCCCAGAGAGTGCAGCACGGGCAGGATGTGTCTGTCTCATCTTGGCATGGTGGTAAAACCCCCAAGGCTCAGCTCGGCGGCAGCTTGCACCAGTGGAGTTACGGGCCATGTATTTCCCAGCACAGGCGCTGTCCCTAAGGGCCTAGTGAAGATCCAGGGGCTTGGGAGAGCGCCGGTTTTTCTGGGGCAGAACGGGAGAGCCAGGAACGGCACACGGGTACGTTTAACTTGAGCTCGTGGTACATTGTTAGAACAATTAGTAAAGCCATCAGATTCTATACACCGAGAGGAAAAATAATCCGTAGTGATGACAAGGCGGCTAAATGGGTTTGTCAAAGACAAATCAACCTAATCAACTCGGTTTCCCTCAGTGGTGGGAGAACAAGCTTAGTGGAAATACAGCAGATGTTCTAGGGCTGCTAGTCAGGAAGGTTTAAGGTGGCACCACGTGCTAGTCTCAGGGAAGAAGAGAAATGGGGATTAAGCAGATACACAAGTGGGTAATTATCAGTGCTCTTCTGTCTGGCAGAAGGAAGCCCCCAGAGGTACCTGTTCTGGGAATTTTCATAAGGGAGCTGGAGGAGGGACTGGATCACGCTAATCAGATTCTTCGAGGAGACAAAACTGGGAAGGGCTGCAAATATTCTGGAGGGCAGATGGTTCAAGAGAAAATCTTGGCCAATTGCGAACGCCGCCTGAGGTTCCATCAGGCCGTGTAAATGGTCCAAGCTGGACGCAATCAGGCGGAGAAAGGCTGGAGAAAGGCGAGGGGCAGCGGGTGGGGTGCGAGCTGCTGTCCCAGCACCTGGCTGTGCTGAGAGCCGAGTGTGGAACGCAGGAGGCCGTTACGCGGATCTCTTTGCACTGTGTGTTCACCCATCACACACACACACACACACACACACACACACACACACACATTGAGAGGAGAGACAAAGGTTAGTACGCCCTCCCCCC